GGTAATTGTCTTTAACGTCTGGTCAGCAATGAATAAGACGGGAGTCGGTGAAGGTTACATCTTGGCACTTGGTAACTACTACTCGAAAGGTTCACACGTGTTCGGTTTTTATAATGACCAAGTGGTGCCCAGCATATAAGCGGGAAAACAGATTGGTTGCGTGCAGGCGGTTTGATTGGTCGGAACTGACCAATCAGCTAGCCAGATTGGAGGTGATTCACCAATGAATACTTGTTATATTGTATGAAAGTAGAATTTGGCTTACCAGATAGGAAAAGTGCATTTCCTACAAAGAAGTAAGGCTGGTTGTGTTGTGGGAGATTCCACAAACTGTTTTAAAATAAAATTAATGAATTTATCATCTTTAGCTATCATCATCAATCATCAGATGTAGTTGAAGGGATTCATTGCATAGATGGACAACTGACCAGTACCTTTTATATTTCTCAGTTGCTGAGTCTGTGAATGATCTTCCAATTCAAATTGACATTGTCGGGATCATTTTTAACTCTGTCTGCTTCTTCTTTATTTGTCTAAAGTTCATACCATTTCAATTTTCTCTCTTTGATGGTGGATATAAAGTGTTCATATGGGTCTGTTTCTTGTCTGATGGTGTCTTTCATCACATCATTTGTTATGAAGCCTATATAGGAGGCATGTACACAGATCTAAGAACCATCTGGAAAACAAGAATGTCTGTCATAAATCAAAGATTAGACTGTTGCATACATTGGCCTTCTTAATTTTTCTTTATGCCTGTGAAGCTTGAACATTAACAGCAAAATTACAGCAAAGAATCCAATCATTTGAAAAAATTTATAGGTTAAATTTTTTTATAAAAAGCAAGTAAAGGAAGATAAATTTTAATAAATTTCCTTACACTATCAACATAAACTTAATTTTGTATGGACTCCATGCTTTTTTGTAAGGATAAGTCTGTCTATGGTTTCTGCTATCGTATCTATACTAAGTCCCCCTCAAAGCAGAGAGACTTGAGGGTATCCCTGCAATAGTTCTAAAGATATGTGATCCTAAACTGACTCCTGTTCTTTCTAAACTCTACAATAAATGCCTTGCTACTTCTTGCTTTCCAGCTTTTTGGAAATCCTCTTCTGTAGTTAAAGTCTTTAAGAATATAGGTGAACTGTCTGATCCTTTTAACTATCAGCCTATTAGCCTTCTATCACTTTTTGGCAAAGTACTAGAAGCTCTAATTAAGTCTAGATTGGTTAAGCATCTCACCTCACATGATCTTCTTTCAGATAAGCAATATAGCTTTCACTTCTTTAGGTCAACTCCTGATGTACTGTGGAACCTCAACCTATGAATTTAATCTGCTCCAAGAGTGGATTTGTAACTGGAAATTTCGTATGTTGTTTTTCCCCATTCAAAATAATGGAAATTAAATTAATTCATTCCAAGCTCCAAAAATATTGATATAAAAATCAATAAAAATCGTATTTTATGCAAAATTAAAGTACTTTTTTAAAGATTATACACAAATAATGTAAATAAATATATCACTGTGACTCCTTCCCAGGCTTTATCAATGAGATTTAAGCAATTTAGGATATTGAAGTGATCCTTCCAAAGTTCTCTTAGGGTCAGGTTTGTATTTTTGGTCACTTCAAACACCTCGGCAAGGTCTCATTATTTTACAGTTGATATGGGTAGATGTAACCATAAGTTCTTGGCTAGCAGTTTTTTTTTCTTGCACTTCTTGTTTGTGGAACTCTCTTTCAGTCTCTTGCTTTCCAGTCAAGTTCAAAAATTTAAATGAAATGTCAATTGTTACTTTCTGTCTTCTTAATTTCTGTTCTTTTTATTGTTCTTTCTCTTTGATAATGTTTTTCTTTTTGTCATATTCTTCCACACTCAGTAACACCTAGATCTTAGTGGTTTTATTGTCTTGCTTGGGGTTAAATGATTAAAAAATGCTATAATGAAGCCAGATATTAAATAGAAAATGGCTTGAATAAAATTTAATGTATAAAATTTGATTTTTGAAACTTTAAAAAAGAAGAAGCTGAAATCTAATAATATAATATAATACTGGTGATAAGAGATTTGAAATTATCTCTCATCCTCATTTTTCAAAAAAATCCTTTTAGTGATTGCAATTTTATAGTAAGAGTTGAAAAGAGAATTTCAATAGAATAAAAATAGCAGAAAATCCATTTTCTGAAGTAATTTTATTTGTTGTAAATATGCTTAAAACATTTTTGGATATACTACTTTTTTAAAAAAAATTAATGTTCATCCAATATAAGGCCCAAGAGTCACTCAAGGTAGATAGTGTGTGGTGTTGTGTGAGTGTAAGAGAAGGTGTGGTAACTACCACCACCATTACATACACACAGTCCATAGAAATCATGCGACAACCATTCATTGGTTGATCTCCTCAAAACTAGCTCGCTGATTGGTCAATTCCGACCAATCAGATATCCTGCACGGGAGGAATGAAATTTCCTGCTCACCTAGATTTGATCCAGTTATGTGATACACCATCTTATATAAACAAAACATGAATGGTTCTCTCTCTCTTTCGTCACTCTTGCGTCTCAATCCTTGCTGCCAAAATGTAACCTTCAAGAACTCCCGTCTTGACCATGCAGTCAGACATTAAAGAACATTACAACATTCACGCAAGTACGAACTCTAAAATCCATTCTGAACTCTTACCAATTTTACCAATCCACAATTCCTAACATGCAACAGGAACTTATTCTTCTAAACTACAGTTTAATAATTACTTCATATTTATGAGCTCAGGTACAAATATTTCCAAATCTAAGAGACATAACTCTATCAAACCTTCAGCTTATATGCATGTACACCAAACACAAATAAATTCAATTGTTATGTTTTGAATCATTATGTTCTGTTTTGTATTTTATACTATGTGCTATTTTAGGTCAAATATAAATTGCATTGTGCACGCCACATTGGATAGTAACCTCCAGTGTCTTTGCTTTCCTTAATCATGCCTTTCCTAGTCAAAAGATAAATATATGTAGTACACACTCCTACATAATGGTGAACATACTGCTACAAAGGCAAGAAGTGAAGTTCATGGGGCTATGCAAGAAAGTTAATGATTAAGTGGTGAAAATTATTGATTGGGAAAACACAAGAGAATGAACAAACTTTACAAGGAACTGGAAACCCAATCCTAAACAGGGAAAAAGGGATAAACCTCTACTCTTGTTCAAAAGGGAGAAGTGTGAACCGGACAATAAGCAAACATATATTTTAAAGCTGTTTATTTCCTTTACGTGTGTACATTCTGAATTGATAATTTTAAAAAAATTTAATTTTTTAATAATTTTTAGTGCACATTTGATGCAAAATATTTATATTGAAATAATAATAATTTGTTCAAAAAATTAAAGAAAATGGTTGCTGGAAATCAACTATTCAATAAAAATACTATACAAACAAAACTCTTTATTTGGTTTTGATGAGTTGCTATTTTAACAGCCAATTAAACCACTAAAATGGTCCATCACAATTAATGATTATTCAAAAAGCGGTTCTAATCTGAGCTAAGTATTTCTTATAAATACGACAATGAAGGTTGAAAGCATTTTGATGAGTTCAAGGGAATTAACTCATATCTGAACAACTTAACGTTCTTGATTTTTTTTTAATTCCGTAAACGAAATACAAAAAGTATCCATATTTTGAAAATAGGTTTTTCTTTTTTCTTGTGAAAGCGTAAATCTTGCATAAATAGTCAATATATTTCGATGTTGTCATGTTATTAAAATGTGTGTTGTGAGTGGCGAAGGATTCAGTTTTGGTATTACACATAAAACATTCCAATGGATTGATGGCGAAACTTCTCATAGCTGTAAAAAAAAGCCTTTTATTTTAATTTGGAAAGAGTAAGGAATATATTTTGAATTTTAAAATGAATTCAAAATATATTCTTTACTCTTTTCATTTTAAAACGAAAATGATTGCATTCACAATGTAAATATATCTTACATTAGGTAAAAAAATCTTTTCATCAAAATTTTCGCTTGATTTCTAATTTGCTTTTAGTTCTTTTGAAAAAATATATTGGTTTTGATATAAAAAAATGTATGGAAACAAAATAAAATGATCACTGCTCAAATATTTATTGCAAGTAATTCAAATTAAGCGTAAATTTTTATAGCATCTAAAATTTGCTTTTTTGACGGAGTAAAAAATATTGGAAGAAAAGTCACAAGGCACGCTTTGATAGGGTAGGAAATATAATTACAATTTTAGCTTGTCGAGAAGGAAAAAATTATAAAGAAAATGAGTATTATTTTTTATTTATATTTAGTAATACTTTTAATTAAATAAGTAATATTTTAAATTTATTTATTTTAATATGTTTTGATAAAAGTAAAATTATGAAATAAATATTTAATTTATTTAGCAATTAATTAAAGTAATATTTTTTAATAAATTACATTACATATTTCATTAATTCGAATTAATTATGACTTTATTTTATTGATATATTAGAAAACAACATTATTTTCCATATCTTTTCTACCCACAAGTTGAAAATATGAGTTTCTCATCCGATAATTGAGTAAATAAACGAACAGCTAAAACTAAGATGTTTTGAGGTCATATCTCAAATCTTGGGTTGCTTACAAACATTTCCACGAAAAAGAGACATTATGATTCTGCCAATTTAAGGGACTTAATTAACTATGAAACCTTGCTTCCTGCATTTTACAGTCAAGAAAGTAGCCACAAGATTTGAAATTATATCGAAAATTACGTGTAAGGTCATAGAGAAACAATGTCAGTAGCGTGCATATTTTCCATGCTTTTTTAACGCAATCCACAGGATTATTGTTTTTGTCTCAAAGTTTTTATATGAATTTTATCACACAATTCTAGAACAGAAAATAGCGGACATCATCAAGGTGTTAGAAATGATTATTAAATTTTGGCGGTGCCATCTGTGAAGTTATTCAGGTTGGTGACATCAACTAGCCATCTGGAACATTTTTTTACTTTTTGGGATGTGTTTGCGCATAGGGTGAAGACTGAAATTACAAATAGAAAAAGAAAAGGTAATTTGTAGTAGAAATATACTTTGTTAATTTATAGTACATTATCATAAATATATTTAATGAATTTATTTTTATCCGGCATTTTTCAAATATGGCGGATACTTGTACAATAGCCCCTTTTATATTTACTTTATGTATTACGTCTATCGGTTTGCACACTCGAGAAATATCAATAAAGAAAATGTACTCTCCGACAGGAATCGTTCTTGCATCCCTCTTTGTAGGAGAAACCACTATTTGATTCGGTGTGCTTTACCGCTCGGATAAAAAAAGTGTCACCGTTCAGCAATGTTCTATTTTCCCTCGTAAGAAAAGCACACCCTCCTCGCCGATAGTTACCTTGCTTAACGTAAACAAAGCAATTTAGAGCATATTTTCTTTACTGAGATTTCTCGAGTGCACATCTTGATAAACGTAATACATATTGCTTCAAGTAAAAATAAAAATGAGGCGTCTGTTTCAAATACGAGTATCCACTATAATAACGTCTGAAGTAATAAATAATAAAAACGTTTCATAAGTTCGTAATTTGAAGACTTCCAGTTGAAATAGTTTGAAAGAACAAATATCACTCTTGCACCCACCATTTTTACAAGTGTCTCAGACTCATTATCTTCTTTTATATGCCGCTTCCCTTCAGGACATGGGCGGTCAAGGCTCCACAGTTTTCAAATTCTTGTTTAGGTCATTTTATTGCGATTTTGGAAAGGCAAAATCTGCCTCTTCTCCCCCCAGTTATGGGTTAGGGTTTAATAACAGGGTAGACTGGAGTCTCTAGCCTCGTATCCTTGGATGGCAGTCAGTCGTAGAAAAGGAAAACTCTGATTTCGAAACCGTGGATAAGACAACTGGAAACTACACTTACAATCTTTCGCAAGAATGCATGACGACTCAAGAATAATAAAAGGAATCTGTTGAGGGCCATGATCGCTTAGACGTTTTTATATATATATATATATATATATATATATATATATATATATATATATATATATATAATGAACTCTTCCGTCGGTTTCGACATGAGAATCAGATAGCTTAATTGATTCAGTTATGAAATTTTGTGCGATAATCTTAAGTGGCACTTAAGACCCGCTAGTGATTTACAAAGGCGGCCGCATATGGAGCAAGAGTGAGGATTGTGAGATGAGATCATTGTTGGATTGTCTGAACTTTTAGATCTTGCTCTCGCTTCTTGAAGATGATTCAAACAAGCAGATTGAAAACTGCTGAGTTCACTAAAACACGTTGATCACCATTCTACCCGCTCCAAGGCTAAGAGCTCAAGGGTGTTATGTAGTACATTGACTGCTGACAAGTTTCAGCTTGTCTTTGTATCATAGCCATGGGTGTCCTACATTCCTGTAGCCCTGATCTAACTGGCTGTACATTAGGATCTTGGGTATCCTGTCATCAGACATTCTCAAGACATGACCAGTCCTCCAATATTACTCCTGTTAAACAGGTCTACGTTAGATGTCCTATCTTGAAGGTTAATTCCACAGATTTGCACGCAGACAGCTTTTATGGAAAACATCCAGCTGGCGTACTGAGCCGTACAAAAGGATGGCAAGTACAACAGCTCTGTAAACCCGAATTTTCGTATCCAGTTGAATACCCCGCTCATTCCACAAGCGATGGCGATGCTTGCCGAAAGCACTGGTAGCCTTAGTAATCCGATGCATGATTTCATCATCTAAAGTTCCACTGAAGTTGACTTTGCTACCAAGATAGTTCAGGTATTTGTCTTCTACTTTCAATGATCTCTTTGGAAATTTGTAGACTGGTGTTTTTTGTTTCTCACCACAGAATTGCTTCGGAGTAGGACAAAGTTGGTGCACTATTTCAGTTTTCTTTATGCTAAGTGTAAGACCAAAGCAGCAGAGAAACGATTTATTAGATGTTGGGCCTCCTCAAATGATGTCGCAACAAGAGCAGCATCATCAGCAAACAACAAATCCCGAATAATTTGCGTACGAAGGTAGGTCTTGGCTTTGAAGCGCTGATGATTGAAGAGACCACCAGTTGTTTGAAACTGAAACTTGACGCCGTCCTCTGTGTCTGCGAATGCATATTTCAGCATCACCGAGAAGAAAAGGGCAAAAAGGACAGGGGCCATGACACAACCTTGCTTGGTGCCATTTGTGACAACAAAGGATTCTGACATCATATTATCAGACATGATATTAGCTTTCATTCCTTCATGAAAGGAGATGATGACCTTTAGCATGTTTTCTGGGATGCCGAGTTTCCTCAAGATTCGCCAAAGAGCCTCTCGATTCACAGTGTCAAAGGCCTTCGTTAAGTCCACACACACCATGTACAACTCCTGGTTTTTCTCGCGAACCTCTGCAACTTGACGAAGAGAAAATATCATGTCAATGGTGCCACGACCCGACCGAAAACCACACTTCGATTCAGGAGAGATATCGTCAACAATGCGTATAATGATTCTGTTTAGAATCAGCCTAGCTAGGATTTTGCCTGCATTTGAAAGTAGGGATATCCCCCGATGATTATCACAAACACACCTGGAACCCTTGCTTTTGTAGAGGTGTTTGATAGAGGCGTCTTTATAATCCTGTGGGACACAGCCTGCCTTCTATATCTCTACGAAAAGGAGATATAACTTTTTTACCAACTTTTAGCCACCATGCTTATACACTTCGGGTGGAATAGGATCCTTAGGAGTAGGTGATTTTCCAGATGAGATTTGCTTGATGGAATCACTTACCTCTTGATAGATAGATTCAAAAGACAACTCCGGAATTTCAGGATTTTGCTCAATTGATGTGATGGCTTCCTCATCAGTAACCAAAGTGGTGTTTAACACAGTTTCGAAATGCTCTTTCCAGCGATCTTTCTGAGGACCGAAAATGCTCTTGAGGCCAGCATAGAAAGCCTTTAGATCCTTTCTATCTGAAGCTTCTTAGAGTTCAGTGGTCTTTTCAGACCACCAACGCTCTTTCATGGCTCTGAGAGCTTGTTGAACCTGACTTCTGCACTTCTTGTAAGCGATCTTCTTATCGGACGAGTTCTTGTACTCAATCTATGCTTTATGAGAAGAGTGCAGTTGATCCCTAAACTACTGAACTTCTGTATTATTGTCATCAAACCAGTCTTGATGTTTACGATGTGGTAGGCCGAGAACCTCCAAGGATGTAGAATATGCGGCATCACGCAGAGCCTTCCAAGATGATTCGATATCATTGGTAATGTTTACAGAATCAAGTGCAGCATCAAGTTTGTCAGACACATATATATATATATACACACACACACACACACACACACAGAGAGAGAGAGAGAGAGAGAGAGAGAGAGAGAGAGAGAGAGAGAGAGAGTAAGGTTAACTGTACGAAGCCCGGGGCCACGAGGTAGAGGGTTACGTTAAGGGGTAGATTATATGGATAGGAGGGGAAGATCTAAGTTTTTGCTTTTTTACAATGATGTTCACCATATGCAACGCCCGAGGGTCACTCGAAGTAGAAGGTTACAGAGTAAGAGGTACAGCTTATGCGGATATGTATGGAAGATAACGGTTAATCCTAGATGTGAACACGTTAAGATTGTAGTGATCGGGAACGCATCCTCTTGGGAGTCACTTTCATAAGGCAATGGTTCGTGGGACGAAACTGGTAACCCGCCAAAGAAATACGAAGGGAATGAGGGTGGTTCGCTACAATGGGCGTGACATGGCGGGCCTTAGTTGTAAATGTTAAGACTGGTGGAACTAAAGAACGCTTTCCATGGGAATAGCAACAGAACAGTGAGAGGCTTGCGACATTTCGTCTGTAAGAAAGGTAGAAAATAATCCATCACTAATAAGGACGCGGAGACGCTTTTGGACTCCACCGAGAATGAAAACTGAAGACTGGGAAGCTTCCGAATCTATATGACGGCAGTACTCCATTTTAGGCCTGGTCTGGTAGAGGATAGTAGGAGGAGTGAGTTACTTGTTGCAGCGGTACAGGGAACAGACCATTTCCTCAGCATTTTTAGCGATAAAAGGTACGTGTTCCACTAAGCTGTTAGAGCCAGGTCAGAGGAGAGATCAGCTGCCAATCTCTGGTCATTTAGGGTTTTGGAAGTGCACACATATACCGTTGTCCCATCAGCACGAATGATCGCTGTATATTCTTAGGCTGATCATTTATATAAAGTAGGAAGATAATTGGACCGAGAAGCGAACTTTGGGGGAACATCTTCGTTGATCGCTTGGGCCTCGGTGGACTGGTCTTTAACAACTACCTTCAGAGACTTACCCGTTAGGAAGGGCTTTATAATGAAGAAGACTCTTCCAGTGATTCCATAGCTAGAGAGCGTTCAAGCTCTCTAGCTATGGAAGAATCTTCTCCATTATAAAGCCCTTCCTAATCACTCGTAAAGATTTCAAAGATCAGACGAAAGAAGTTTTATAGCAATGTTATATATAAAAAATATTGTTAGATTTTAGCGGAGAAGGTAATGAGTTCTCCGTTTGTCGACCATTAAAAGTTGCCAACTTCTTAGTTAAAGCTTTATAAATGCCTCCAACTGCATACAAAGAAAGCTTGTGAAAAGGGAAAAGCAGGAATTATTGGCTCAGGATGTTGATAGTCATAACACTGATGTATGCTGACTCCAAGAAACAAAAATCAAAGAATGACTCGATATAAATATCGAAGTTATTATCTTTGGAAACAGTAAATATTATGGAAATGTTCTTGTAATCAATACCAAATGGAAGAATAAAATCCACAGACATTGAACGAACAATCATAGTATATATATTGAACAAGAACATGAAAAGAATTATCAATGAAATTGCATCATTCCACATAAAAAAAGAGCTTAGAAAACTTGTGATAAAAATATAAATGAATATAAATAAACAAATAATAACAATGAAGCCAAAATTTCACCATCTTTAAAAATAGATGTATGTTCAGAATCGTTAGGCTATGGATCAATTTTCGACCAACCAATCAGAAACCGCCCCGACCAGGATACGAGCATCATACTATAACGAGCGTATCAGAAACAAGATCTGTTTTCAACCAGGATATAAGGTTACTGATCGTGGTCGAATCAGAATCAAAGCAACAGCTTCAAAGCGGATCTCTAAATATGTATGTCTCTTTTTCTTCAACAGCCGTCCTCGAATTGAAACATAGAATTCGATCCTTCTAAGAAAACATGGACAGCAAACATACGCTGCTTTTCCACCAAACACGGAGAGCAGGCGAGAAAACCACAAAGAACGAAGCGAGCCACACTGGAATGTTTTCCACCCATACATTCGACCGAATAGGAACTCAGTAAAGGAGCTGTTTAATTTTTCATAAACTGGTGAACTGGGTATTCAACAAAATAACTCGAAAACATTACACTTGATAATGTTGTAGAGAAGTAGGCAGGGCTTTATAATTATTGAAGATTTCTAGTTTTATTTTTTGGCAGAATATTTAGGCGAGCTGTAGATATTATTAGACAGAATTCTGTATTTGTATTAGTTGAAGAAATATTTTTTTCGGTATGGAATCATTTAGAATGCACAAAATACCGCGACAGACAAATTTGAAAAAATGAAGAAGTAATTTAAATAAATACTTACGATTAGCTGTACTCCGAAATGAGCGTTTGGTCCACGGATCGAATCCTTAGCAGGCCGCAGATATCCATCAGGAAAAACAGCAATATAATGGTTTGGTTCATGTACAGATTGAAATAAAGCCCATTCTCCAGCTTGAGAGACATGGAATTTAGTTTCCACTCCGTGTTTGGTGTCAGGAGGCTGCAATGCCGACAAAAAGCATCCTTAATTAGTTTTGAATAAAGATATAAATGTGGAAAACCTACTAAAAATCAAAGTCACTACAAATTAGTAATACTATTTTAAAAAAATAAATTTAATCTGTTAACTCGTAATTAAAACTAAAATAAAACCTTAAAGAAAAATTTTTCATTATTAAAAATTATTGTTAAACCACTGGCATCGCGTTTTTGTGTATATATATATATATATATATATATATATATATATAGTGATTTTCCAAGCGTAGCTTAGATGTGGCACAAGGCCGAAATTAGGGGGAACACAGTGAGGATATATATAGTAGAAAATATGTGTCTTCCGACAGGAATCGAACCTATATCCTAGGTTCCTAAGAAATGGACAATTATTTTAATATAGTTTCTGTTTATACATTATTTTTATATTAAAATAATTGTCGGACGTAGTCCATTTCATATTATATGTTGTCATTTGTTTACATTAAGCTACTCCTCGAGCAGAAATGATCGTTTGAGAAAAATCATGGTAAATTTGTTGTTTAAAAACAGTAATTTGACTTTGCTAACTAGATTTTTCCTCTGTAGCTAAATGGTATAGCACGTCAGGCCAAATGACGGTTCCGTGTAGGATGCAGTTTCGATTTCTGTTGGAGGCCACATATTTTCTACGATATTTCTCGGGCATTCAGGTCGGTCAATGAAGTTAATACTGTTTATTATAAACAGAGCATTTACTTAAATATTTCTATCTATAAAAATAACGTATAAACAGAATGAATATATATATATATATATATATATATATATATATGTAAACGAATAATTTACAAAAGAGATTATTGTGGGAAAGTAGCTCAATGAAATTAATGTTGAAAAAAAAATTACTTTTTTTTTTATTATTCAAATTAACCACTCATTCTTCTTACCGAACACATCTCAGGCGTATACACAGCAAATAAGAACTTACCCTACGATCTCTTCCATGGATCGGGGAAGTATATTCTTAATAAAATATTTCGTTCATACATATACGTAAGTCGTGTAGTCTAGAATAACTGAATGAATCTGGGGAAAATTACTCACCAGACGGACGACTTGTGTGTAGCCGTCGACAATCGCCAAATAATTGTTGTTATTATGAAGTCGAACTTTGTTCTCGCCTTCATTAATTACAGTCCATGAAGCTAAAATAATATAAGTAGATATCAATCAAATTCTTGTTTGCTGGAAAGTTTTTGTTTTTTAGTTTGACATTTTTCTTCATAATCATTCGTCAGTTGTCTTGTTAACCATTTATATGTATTATTTATTATGTTTTCATTCAATTGAAATCGTTTTTCGATTTGTAGAATCACCAAAAGAAACATCTCAAGAAGGCAAGGCCAGTGAAAGGGTCACATGCGACCCTGAATCTATGATACGAACCCCTCCCAATTCTACTACATCTCAATTTTCATAAGGTATTATTCATATAAAATAAAAATTTTATTGTAACCTAATTATGTACAATAATGAATCATATGCAATATAGGTGAACAAGTCAATTAGAAAAATTGAAAATGAATACAATGTATCTAAATACAAATTAATGATGTCAGAATAGATCATTCCATCTTAAATAAATCAACAATGTTGGGAATTTTTAATGCTAGCTTGAGATTTTTCTTGTTAAAAAGTTGGATAATTTTAACACATTCAACATTATGGATAAAAATAGTGAATTTTACATCGTGTTTTTTCGAGACTTAGCATGAACAAAAACAAATTCACGGATTTGGACGAAAAAAAAAAAAAAAAAAACGACCCCAGAATGACGTCAAAACCCGTGAAATCCTTTCATCCTTTAATAGTCAGTTGTATTTAGTTTAATTTGTAGCGTTCGATCACCGAAGTTAAGCATCGTAGAGCCAGGTCAGTACTTAGATGGGGGACCGCTTGGGAACACCTGGTACTGTAAGCCCCCAAAGTCCAACCCTTACCTCACAGTCGGTGGTGGGGGGGGTGTAAACGGTAGTGTCAGAGCTATGCCGCCAGGAACTTCGTTCCTGGTAGGGCCACCCAAGGCGGACAGGTCTGACACACACGCCGGCTAACAAGGGCTCTGGTGAAAATCCAAGGAGCGTCTGCATCGGTAACCGGCGGCTTCTGGTCGTTCCTGTCTCTGCGTCTGTGGGAACCCCGCGGCAAGCAAGAACGTTATCCGAGTAGGCCTGGGTACCCTACTTCTGTAATTTATCCCAAGAATCTTCTTCTCATAACAGGAAGAAGCCGGCGCAATCCGCCCAGGGTGAATGCCGCATCAGTACAGTACAGTATATAAATGTAGGTAGAAAAAAAACAAAAAAACAAATATTGATAAGATAGTGAGGGTCACAAAGCACTGCCCGGGGACCCCAATCAGCCCCCCGCCCGATCGTAGGTAGTACGTACCGGCCCTGTAAGAAGGTTTATATTAGAGTTTTCGTTAACAAAAATCGTTATTTCTATTTTTTCCTTTCTGTTTTCCATCTAAATCATTTTGACTTTTCAGTTAATTTCGCAATTCTTCATTGAATTATAAAAACTTTATCTTTAATTTTCCTGGTTGCTCAGCGCCATATTTGACGCTATTGTTTATAAATTTTTGTTTTCTTTCTTGCATATACTTAAACAAAAAACCCTAAAAAACATCTGACCTCTCTCCCCAATAAAAGATCCATACGCTGTCCACCGTAAATTTAGCAACTAAAAATTTTCGAATTTTATTGAAAATAAGTATTTTCGTATTCATAGCATGTAATTTAAAAAGATTCGAAAAAGGTTTTTGATGGTGTGGGATTAACGGAAAAGCGCCTTAAACTTTTACGTGTATTTCTTTCATTTTACTTTCAGTTGTTTTTCATCGAAACGATTTAGACCATCACTCTACTGTCATTTACTTCTGATACGTGTTACAGAATAACGGTTTGAACCGTTGCTATGAAAAACAACTGAAATTAAGATGAAAGTTATACTCCAGTATCTGTCTATGTTTCTGAGATGAGGTATTATGTACATTATTTACATTATTCGGATCATTGTCCCCATCTTCGTCGCCATATTTATTACAACGTTTCGGCCGTTGTACGCTCCCGCCTTCTTCAGGTAGCTGGAATGTCGAACTTAATCCTTTATTTCGCTCACAGAGGTAGACTGTTCTAGTTCCACGTGCCATGTTTAATGGATGTCAGTTATCAGTTATCTCCTGTTAATTTCCCTCTGAAAGTTCTCCACTGCCTTAACCGGGTATTGAACTCACACTCTTTGGGTCCTGTCACTGGATCTAACCAACGCCTGTATCCACTGTGCCAGTCTACCCCAGTGAGCGAAATAAAGGGCTAAGTTCGACATTCCAACCACCTGAAGAAGGCCGGAGTATATATATATATATATATATATATATATATATATATATATATATATATATATATATATATATATATATATGCTGTAAATAAACGACCAAATTACAAAACATATCACGCAAATTCGTAAGTTTCTTTCTATTAGAGTTTTTTTTTCTTTTTATTATAAGCTAGTTTCCGGTTTTGATCAAAATTATATTAGGTTGTACCGAATGAAATAATGTGTGGAGCCAAGAGGCAATTAAACAGGAGGACAGTCAAACACTAAATGAAAAAAATGGTTTCTGTCTCGAAAGATTCGCGTATCCTTCCGATTAATAAATTATTCCTTTGAAAATAAATAGTTAACACTTTTCAACCAATGTGACACGTTCCTGCTGACAATAAAAACATACTTCTTGATCTCGTTGAAGAGTATATAAGCCAAGTTTCTAGACCAAAGAAACCACTAATGATAAGGAGCGACAACATACTGCAACAGATTTACGGCACCACGCCTTAAAAGAGATTCCCTTACTCATTCACCCGTCTTCCTCACCAAGCTACGTGACACTTACACTCTCCCTCATCAAGCTATGTGACGCGCTTTCTGTCTCACTCTCTCCCTTGCCTTTCTTTTCATGGATACACGCGAAGAAACCACATTTCTTTATGTAGAAGCAAAGAAGATGATAATAGTCTTTCAAATGTTTTTTCTGGGAAAAACTCAGATCTCTTTAAACGGGACATCGAAAATTTGTCTTCCCATTGGGATAAATTCATTGAAAATGAAGAGGATAACATTTTTGATAATATTTAAATGAAATTAACTTAAATTTGTTTTTATATCCGTTCTGTTAAAACGGAATTACTTTACGAACGCCGTAATATTTAAATAAATTTAACATAAATTTGTTTTTAGGACCATTCTATTAAAACGTAATTACTTTACGAACGCCCATTTATTTATTTAAATAAATTTAACTTTGTTTTTATGTCCTTTCTGTTAAAGTCTATTTATTTTCGGAACATCTTAACACAACGCTTTATAGACGATTTTTCAATGGAAAATACTAAAATATTGAGGATGAAAATATGTTCTTTAATTACATCTTCCTTCCGGACATAAGTAATCATGAATCTCCATATTTTCCCTCATTTTATCTGTCAATTACCATGACTTCTTGGGAAAAATCGTGGAATAGTTTCCCGTTGTTTTCTTCATGGTTTTCATTTAAGAGTTATCCTTTTCCTAGACTGGCTGCCACTCCAGGCTAGAGCGTCTAGTCTACTTTACTGTTTTACCCATAGAGGAAAAAATGGAGGAAGAGCAATGGATTCATATCTTTTCCAAGATAATAAAAGTGAAACCGACTATACTGATTTCTGAGTAAAACGTAAATAAAGGTTTTTAGATTACAACCAATCTAGTAATTTTAAAAGAGACATTAACCTATAAAAATCCTGTTTGTTATATTTTCCACATGTTGACAAAACTTCTTGGTCAATGTTTAGCATCCCGCTACTACTTTCTTATCAATGTTGAATTTTGTACAAATCTGTGCAAAAAGTGGATCACAGAGCTTATCAAGCTTCATACATATTTTCAGAAAATCTCAACTTCTGATTGGTCACTTAATATTTAAATCATGTCCGCATAACATCGACCTAGTTCTTGACCTGACAAAAAATAATTCCGCCAAAATTTGTCAATGTCTTTTCGATCCTGTCACGTGATTACGTTGATTATAAATATCAAACACAAATTCGTTCTTCCTCTTTTCTTGATTTCATTCGCTTACGAAAATGTAGCCTTAAAGGAAACTGTGTTCCGATTCCTAGTTCGGGCGGACGCTATGAAAACATATTCACACACGCACACATACATATACGTACGAAATTTTCCAACCTACATTACAAACATACGAAACTTTTCAAAGTTCATTTCAAACTACGAATATTCAATTACAAGCAACGGAAACTTAATTACAAACATTACGGAACATTTACTCCTTCAACCATTCTTAAGCTAAAAGTTTACTCAACATATTCTCAGCTTTATAATTCTTTCAACTCTCTCACAGTAAACATCTTGAGCGACAAGTTCATTCAAATTTTGTGAGCTTGGATAAAAATATTTCATTAGTTTAACTTTAATTCAGTCAAAGGGACATAACACCAACAAAAATAGTTATCCCTATGCTTGTACATCTTTATACAAATATAAATCTTGTTGTTATAAAACCGTTTTGTGTTCCTTCTTGTTGTTTCTCTTGGTGCTTTTGCGTTTGCTTTACACATTCATAAAGTAAAAAAAAAAATGTATGGATTGATTTAGACCGTCAATACCGCTACAAATGTATAAGTATAATCAGTTTCGGCTTTGGTCCCGTAAATTTTCTATTTGGTTACAATGCTTACCTTGCACAGCTTTTGACATGTTTATTGCAAAGTTTGTAATCACAAGACCGACCGCAAGGAAAATAGTCGTTAGATTAGGTTTTCAAACTAGAAATTACCTTCAATAATCCACGGTTTCGATCAAGCGGGAAAATCCTATTTCTTGACTGAAAACCGATTGAATTTCATTATTATGAATTCACTGACTTTAAATGCCACTCACTTTTGAGTAGGCGTTAATCGTTTGGTATATGACAATCATTTAGTGTGTGACGTCAATCGTCTGGCGTGTGAAGGTAATCGTTAATACCTGTAGGTAGAACTGGATTATTTTTAGGTAGAATTGAACAGGATTGTTTCTCAATTTCTGTATCTTACGTCTTGTGCTACTGATTCAACAGAAACGAAAATAACTGGTACCGGAAATGGTTGTGACAAGATTGAGGTTCATGCCTTTCTGCAAATAATTCTCTACAATTTGTAACCATATTTTTGTTATATTCTAATCGATAGGCCAGGCAAATGATACGATTAAATACATACCATTAAAAGCACCATAACCGACACTTCCTTTGGCGTCTACGATCAATTTACCATCTAAGGTTTGTAAGATCTGCAATGTGCAACCTGTCATCTTTGATACCAATTGTACGACATTGCCAGTGCGGAAAAGGTTCTGAAAAAAAAAAACCAAAAAAAAAAAAACCAACAAAACAAAAAAATAAAACAAAAAACAGACCCCCCCCCCCAAAAAAAAACAAATAAACATTTCACGATATTGTAGCCTAGTTGATTAGTGAATCTGGTGACATAGTAAATGTGAGTTCAATCCCTAGGCTGGGTAGTACAGACTTGGAAATAACGTTAGTAATAGCTAAGTACAACTAAATAGGAAAAAGACGAAATATCCCTCGACATGGAGGCGAAATGAGAACAATCTACCCCCATAAATGCAAGGGTTCAGTTCGAAATTCCTTGAAGGCTTTGTCTATTTCGTGACATATCAACCTCTTAGTCTTATGTGTCGTTTAATGTCGAAATTTAATTTTATTGGGAGCATTAGTAATTTCATTTAAAAAAAGGTATTGCTGGTAATTTTTTTTCCAAAAATGTATTACTAGTATTTTTACTATGAAAATCTATTTTTATACTTTCATAGCGTTTTGACCCCAGTTTGGGGGTTAACTATTTTTCCCGTAACTGGGATCGTAACAGTTGCTACCATCTTGGGTTAGAGTGGACCTGAAAACAACATCAATTAAGAGGTGGTTCTACGCTCCTCAAAATTACACGATCAGAGGCCTTGTTGTCTGATGTAGTTTATTGTTGGGCGGGAAATTCTTTGAAGATTACCCGGATTGGCAGACAATGAAGAAGATTGGAGGATACAACAACATTGATGAGGACATTAGTTCGAATATAAATGATAGGAAAGTTGCGCAGGATCACTCTCACTCTTTTTCCCCTTTTATATTTCGTAGTAACAAATTTAGGCCGCAAGAAATTTTATGTTCATGTGAGAAATTAATAAATACTAAATAAATTGATAGCCAGATTATTTATGTATGATGTAGCTCACCCGACACACCAATAAGCACTTTCGTATAAAAGGTATCTTTTAAAGCTGTCAATTCTAGGATGGTTTTTCATTAATTTTTCTTGATATCTGCCAATAGGCGCTTTATAAAGAAGGAAAATTGCAAGCTTTCAGTCATTCAGTTAACTGTCATATGTGATATACGCTTGGACGATCATGTCTTTCGTTTCATGACTCACTAGGCAGAAGATTTTCCCGCAATAAGTTGCCGTTTCTTTCTGTGGTAGACTGGTTGCCGACCAAGGCTATCGGACCCAGTCTATATTGCTGTTTAATCCATAGCTGGGAGGAGAAGAGATGGATTCATACCTTTACCGAGGGAATTTGCGTGTAAGTGAATATAAAGAATCAGACTGGAATTCGAACTCTGCTTTCCGATTACTCATTCCGAGCCGTTATCCATTACAAAGTTTAGATATTGTAAATTTTAGCAATTAGGCAAAAAGACTAATCCTAGTTTTTGATATTCGATTCCAAAGCAGCCATTTTTATACCAAAGCGGTGTCGGGGGATGGAAGATGTAACAACGACTGCAAACAAACATTAATAGACTAATCAAGTTGTGAAGAATGATCAGTTGACGAAATAAAATGTTTTAAAATATTTACCTATTCTTGACAATTATTGGGCAGGTAAAAAATGAAAATAAATTACATTTGTACTTGAAAATAAATTTGGTCAATCAATCTAAAAAAAGAGAAATTTGACTAAAGTCCAGGCCGCTAGGCTGAAAGCTGAACTTTAGCCAATAATCCTAAAAAAGTATTTTAGTTTTTTCTTTTGTTTTTAAATTTTAATTGCTTCATTAGAAACGATTTTGAACTGTATGAAAACCAGCGAAAAAAATTACATAAAATCTTTAAGAAAAAGCTCAGTTTGACTTCATAGTGTGTCAGATTAAATTAGCAAATTGATAAAGTTCCAAGACATTGGATGAGTCACTTTTTGACAAACAGAAACGATTTATTTCTGAGAATTTCTCTGAGAGTCAGTAGTTAGAAATTTAGGGCAAATTTTTTAATGATATTGGCGGGAAGGAATGTAATGGCCGAGATGTTACAGGCGTGACACAGGCAACCTACGTTATGCTGAAGAAAATCTGAACTTTTTTTAAAAACTTTTCATCCCAAACAAGGTGGGAATCTTTTAGTTAAATTTTGGAAAGTGGTTGGGGCCAAGAAATTTTCAGCAGTTTCTCGTAAATGTGGATTTGATTGACATCAATTGATTGAAATCATTGATGAACCAGCTCAGAATTGTGCATTCATATTGAGACAAGCAAATCTAGCGTTGATCCACACAGTATATCATGATGGTTTGGGTTCATAAAAGAAAATTTGGGAGGAGCTTTCTTCGTCTGCTGCAGTCCCTCGAGTGGTTTGTGAGGCTTGTAAACTTTGGGAAAATACATTTCCACATTAATTGCAAAAATGTGTTGTCAGACGTCGAAGATTGCGAAGAAAAACTGTCTATGAATTCAAGAACATTACAGTTGTACTGCATATTTATTGTACTTGTGATGAGACTAAAAACTGAATTGTTTGGTCGGAATCAGGCCCTACAAGGATGGAGGAAAAAGAAACCATGAATCATAAGAAAATCTTTCTTGGTGTTTACTCTTGGCAGAAAATATAGCGAAAGTTTTGTTTAAAATGGTTGGAACCATGAAGAAAAGTAGAGTACCCTGATATTTTAAAGGAAAAACTGAGAGGTTCTGCCAGGAAATTACCAACAGAGTACCAGGTGCGCTAATGAAAAATTGACTCAAAGACAACAAGATCAATACTAGTAACTCGGATTGAGGAAGCAGAGAGTCGACTTCGAATTCCGGTCGAGTTCATTAATTTCACTTACGTGTTAATACCCTTGGGAAAGGTATGGATCAACCTCTTCAACTATGGGTAAATAGCAAGTGCGACTGGGTCCTATAATCTTGGGTGGCAACCGGTTTAGGGGAATGACAACTCTAAATTAAAATCTAGTGTACGTACTAATCACAATCTTACAAAATATATAACAAGCATTCATTGGTTAATCACCTTCAATCTAGCTTGCTGATTGGTCAGTTCCGACCAATCAAAACGCCTGCACGCGACAAATCTATCTTCCCGCGTTTTCGTTCTGAGCCTTCCATGTGATACACGATCTTATAAAAACAGAACACGTGTAAGCTCCCTCGTGCTTCTTTTCATTCATCTTTCTCCTTGCTGCCAAGATGTAATCTTCAAGAACTCCCGTCTTAACCTTTGAGGTTAGACGTTAAACACCATTACCAACATTCACGAACTCTGAAATCTCTTCTGAACTTTTACCAACTTTACAACTCACAATTCCAAACATGCTAAAGGAACTTTATTCTTCTAAACTACAGTTTAATAATTACTTTCACTTTATGAGCTCAAATACAAATATTTCCAAATCTAAGAGACATAACTCTATCACACCTTCAGCCCTTTATTCTTGTACACCAAACACTAATAAATTCAATTGTTATGTTTTGAAATCATTCCGTTCAGTTTTGCATTTTATACTATGTGCTATTTACGTCAAATATAAATTGCATTGCGTCCACGCATTATCCTTAATCCCACCTTTCCTAGCCAAGGTTAAATATTGGTAACACTGTCGCTACACCATATTTTTGATCTTCGGCTGTTGGTCAAGAGTTTGAAGAGGAGATAGGCACCACCAAGTTATCTGAAAGCCCACTGAAAGGATCACGAGGAAGAAGAATCAAAGTCTGTTTCTTCTGCTCTCAGATGACCCCCCCCCCCGACGGTTGAAACTGTTGTGGCGATTGATGGTGAATTGCTAATTCTAGTAAATGTTCATGTTATTGAACAGAAAGGTGATGTTATTGACTATGAACAGACGCGAAAATATAATTTTGTTCTTGCCTATTTTGGTCTTGTTATGTCACTGGATTGAATAAAGTTTCTGAAATTAATTATGTGTATTTGACACCTAAGATCACATTCTTTTGTCTATGAAGAAATATTTGTTTCGATATTTGTTGAAAAAAAAAAGGAATTACATTATGTCAAATAAAATTTATTGTACCATGTTAGATAATTTTGCACGTCACTGTAGTTTTTTAGGGAGATCGTCAAAATAAAAATAATATTCACATATTTAAAAAGATTTGGTTTGGTTTGTTTTGTTTTACGACATATCAACTTCAATGGGTTATTTAATGCCGACAAGATTTTTATTGATGGTAATATTTTTTTTCCAAAAATGTATTGCTGGTAATATTTTTTTCAAAAATTTATTGCTGGCAATAATTTTTTACAAAGTATTTCTGATATTAAAACCTATTTTGACAATTTCATAGTGTTTTGACACCTGTTTGGGGGTTAAGTATTTACCCATAGCAGGGACCGTAACAGGTGCTACCACCCTGGGTCAGGATGGACCTGGGAACACCAGAAATTAAGAGGTGGTTTCTAAGCTCCTCAAAACCTCCTGATCAGAAGTGTCTAACGTTAGTTTCAGTGAAAGGGAAAAAGGTGTAAGTTTCAAATGTTTTCCTTAGAAATAAATTTATTAATAAAAAATGTTTGCAAGACAGGTTTTCGGCTAGTATATATAATGATAGTTGCAACTCTATTTTGAGCAATGCTATCGCTTGATTCATCCTCAAATATGGGTTACACGGATGTGGATTTTTAGTCCTGCTAGGGCCTTACATTTTCTTGCGCAGATGTGGCAAGGATAAGTGTCTTTTTCAGTATTTAATTTATTAATATGTTGATGAACTTTCAAATACTGTTTTAGTCCACCAACTGAGACACATTCTTTTTCACACTCACCACAAGTAGAAATACCGTACAACACGTAATGAATGACTTCTCTCAGTGTGTAGCGTCTTTGACATAATCAGACGTGTCCACATTCATTACACATTAGATCAAATTCTGTGACAACATTTTAATCAAAATTAGCATCCTTAAACCCTTACGAATATCTCTCTTGAGTCTTTCATGAGTAACATGATTCTCTTCAAAGTCTCTCTCAGAACTGCTTTCCTTCAGGATGAACGATCAAATAGACTCAGGTTTTCCCAGTCATTTTTCATGATGCTAAATCCACATCTCCTAAAATTCTCTCTGTTAAGGTTTCATCTCCCTCCTCCTCATACTTACACTTTCTCTAAATTCTGTTTTGATTTACGGAGTTGTTTTTTCTGTTTTCATTTTGAATTTGTAGGTCTGATGATTTGGATCGTATTTACGATTCCAATGGAATAAATTATGACCATGGAATATTAGTGTTTAAGCCTTTTTATTATATATATATACATATATATATATTAAAGGAAAGTAATAATATAAAAATAATTATTTCTAAATAATAACATATTGCTGGATCTGCGAACCAGATGAAATATGAATATTTACTTGACCCCCCCACTGAGTCAGGTTGTGACACAAGGTCGGTTTTTAACGTGGTGACCCGAGTGTTTTCACTCGGGCCGCTGGTTCAAGCTGGTCTTAGCTGGTTATAGCTTGTCCCAGCTGGTCAGAGCTGGTCTAAGCTCGTCAAGCTGGTCTTGGCTTGTCCTAGCTGATCCAGGCCGGAGCCGGTTCAAGCTGTGATACCACCAGCCCATGGACGAGCCCTGTGCCAGGTAAATATCACCAGATGAAATATGATAATTAAGCGAAATTAGCTTGTGAGTTGTAGTTTGTTGAACCCAGTTATTAGTAAAGACATTACTTAAATAGACTGGTCCACTCATAAAAATATGGATTAAAAAATATATTTTCTAGATTAGCATACACCAGATCTTTCTTAATCCGCATCACTTGTCAGAATAATAAAAAAAAAGAATTTTTTACCATTTCAGAAGTGGGCAGGGTCCATTCCATAATATCAATAAAGTGTCAAATCGATTTCTGATTTATACAGAATAGACTTGTCCACTCGTAAAGAATAGGGGTATTTTTTCTGGTGTAGTTTGAATATCCTTTATCCGAAATTCCAAAATCCTCTAAAATTCAAAAGTTTTTCAGTTGCTGACACAACTTGGCAGAAATGCAAAATTTCAGAAAGCAACATGGCTACTCGTAGCTGGATTATTGAGTCGCAGCGTTACAAATAAAATGCTGACTTTTTTTTTCAGTTTTCATTACATTTAACTCTAATCAGAATCCCTGTAAGCATTGTAACATTTTAATTAAAACACGGCATCGTTGGTAGAGACTGATAGCTTACCGAATTTTCCTTTCATACTCTCAGTGACGTCATTGACGATGTACCCTCTCCCTTCAGTTTCTCACACCTGATGTAGCAGTAGTGTTTGATGTTGCATTTAGATATTTTTTCTAAGTTACGATCATGTATTTTTGTAGAAAGTACAAAACATTATTAACTTTTCATCCTTTAATAGTCAGTTGTGCTTATTAAATTTTATATAAAACTACTTTCAGGTTATATGTATAAACTATGTCATGAAATGTAAAAGGATATTGTGTTTATGCTTGGGTTCAATTCCCAAGCTGTCCCATTTTATAGATGCTATATACAAATTAAATCGCCTGTATTCCAAAATATGAAAAGAAATATGAAAACCGAAGCACTTCCGGCTCCAAGAATTTCGGATAAAGAATTCTCAAACCTGTAATAAGTTTTGTACATTAGCATTGATTAGACTTTCCAAAAGCCACGACCTACGCCAGAGTTGAAAAATATTATTTTCTTATCGATTTTAAAGGACGCTCTTGTTCATAGTATAAATACAGTCACAAGTCGATCCCAGACTTTTACAGAATTATTGGATTTAACTGTTATTTGCAAATTTGAAACTGTGCTTACATCATTGATATCTGCATTTTTTTTAACTTTCTGAATTTCTCAAACTTTTTTAAGAACACACACACACACACACACACACACACACACACACACACACACACACACACACACACACACACACACACACACACACACACACACACACAATCTATCTCCCCGCTCTCTCTCTCTCTCTGTGAGACACACAACGAATTTCTTTAACTTACCAGCAGAGGACTGGAAGTATGGGATTCCATCGTCTGATTGATTTTTCCTGTTGCCCAGGTCAGTTCTCGATCCACAGTTTTTCCCAGTTGCCTTACTTCATGTACGATTGAATCCAGAAAGCCCGTCTGGCAAAGAATTAGACACAACATCTCCGTTATTGTTTCACTCATATTTAAAAGAAAAAGAAAGAAAAGAAAAAATCGTGCAACGTGAATGAAAGTGTGCGTAACATCTAAAACCGGCATTTTTCTGTAAATCCTGCCAAAGTAAAGACATCTCCATTTTGTTCTTATTCACTGATTCAATGCGAGTCCTCATTTTGGTTATTTCATATAATTCCTCATATTAAAAAAAATAAGGTAAAAATGATCCTATTCTATTAAAATAAAACTCGGTCTTTTTAAGCAGACGACTTATTGTGAGACGTTAATGGATTAAAGAAATGGTGTTTTATTACAAAATTTGAACACTAGCATCTTGTACTATCCAAATTTCTGAAAAGAAATGTATAAGAAATTGTTCGGAATATTGTGCTTCACATAACTCTGACAAACACTTTTTTTAAAAAAAAGTAGTACTCAGATTTTGCAGGGTAAAGTTGATAGCCTTACATCCAACCGGGTAGATGTCCTTCTCCTAGGTTGGTTGCTTAGCCGAGGTTTGGGATTATTAGATGGATTTATATCTTTCCAAAGGTATTTGTATGAAAGTGAACGCAACAGCCACGACTGGAATACGAATTCGACACGTCAATTCCAATTTCGGTGCCAATAAACGCATCGCTACACATGCATCACATCTAATATATTAATTTTATATTATTATTTTTTAAAATATTTTCTTGGGACCCGGATTTCTTGTCTCTGCTACACATTTTCTCGGTGGGCTCGGTTAAGAGAAGACAATTTTAAAGAATTTAAAATTCATAAAAAAAATCTTAAAAATTCACTGATAATGTTCACTTTTTTTTGTTAGATTTTTTTTATTATTATTTACACGCAGACTATTGTCCTCATCTTTGTTGCTGCTATATTTTCGGCCGTTGTACTCTTTGGCCTTCATCAGGTGCTTATGAATACGGGTAACTTTCAAGGAACCTTTTTTATCCATGGGGGTAGATTATTCTCGTTCCACTGCCCATACCCAGGGATATCTCATCTAATTCATACTTACTACTGCTCAGTATACACATGGATTGCACTCAATTACATCAAAATTCACTAACCAACGCTTTAATCCACTAGGCTATTGTTCCTTTCAAGCACCTGATGAAGGCCGGAGGTTACAACGACTGAAACGTTGTGAGATAATGTAAATAATTAAAAAAATTGTTTTGTTGCATTGCTTCTTGGATTCTATCAATATATACAACACAGTCTCGGATTGTTGCCGGGTTGTATATACTGTGATTTGATATAGATGTGTGCTCAGCTAACACTCACAGGTACCCAACTTACTGAGTCAGTCTACCAATAGGTATCATGCTATCTGATCGCATTCCGTTATTATGTACTGTTTTGTAAGGTGTGTTAGAACGGTGCTGCGATCTTTATGACGGTGGTCAAATTCGATCAACGTGTCAGCGTCAAATTGTGCAAAGAAACTCAGCAAATCTGCATGCGAATAAAAATCTCGAAACTGTCCCCCCTCCCACTTTTTTAAGGACACAAACACAGATTTTTGAGTGGGTTTCAGGGCTGGTTGACTGTCGGTTAAAAATTATAAGCTTCTGGGTGACCAGTTACCAGCAAAAAGCTAGAAAAAAAAATTATGAATGTAGACCATTGTTAAAGAATTACTTCCTTTCACATCATTTGACTAAAATATGAAGTCTGCTAAGAAATCTCTGTCTGAAATTTTTTCAATACTACCATGTGTCTATACATATAAGAGGGGCAAAGGTTCGATCCCTGACGGGGAGCACATCCTTTACTCGGATTTCTCGAATGCGCGGGCCGATAGATGCAATACACACTGTTTAATAAATAAATATGAGGCGTCTACTTCAAATACGTAGTATCCACTATGGTAACGTTTGAAGTAATAAAATAACGGATTAAAAATGAATTATATTATATATATATATATATATATATATATATATATATATATATATATATGCATGTTTCATTAAAAACGATAGATAGTACTACGGTTAAGGTTTTTTATTTAATTTAAACACACACACAAATTTACCAGACTCCATTAGAAACATACTAGTAGAAAACACAAATATATTAACTGCATTCACCTGCAAAAAAAGACTAAAAATAATGGAAGCTTTAATAATAAAAAAGAAAAAAACAACTCTTAACAATATTAACTACGAACAAAGCCACAATGTGCTAACCGTATTCGGAAATTAAAAACATCCCTACCACACACTAAGACATACACAGAATGCACACACTCAATTAAACTGAAAAATCGAATCATCCTTGATAATGGCTAAAGGTATAGCCGAAAGCGCTTGGAAATATAAAACATTTGGACAGTTTTTACACACCCTTTGTCCAGAAAAGAAAACTCTTGTTCGAACACAAGAAAAATTAAATAAAAAGCTTAACTGTAGTAGCTTGTCTGTCGTTTTTAATGAAACATGCATAAAGGAAGGATTACTGCCTAAATATACAACTATATATATATATATATATATATATATATATATATATATATATCGAGATGAAAAACTCTTATATGAATAAAAGCCTGCGATTGTAGCATTATCTGACAATTGGCATACAGTGCACGAGTACAGGATATGACGTTATGATGGAAGGAGGTGTATAGCAGGACATAGGCAATTGGCCATTTTAAACAATTGGCTGTAGCAAGTTGGTCAATAAAAGCTTAGAATTTACTGACCCGTCATCTGTCGTTCTCGACGGCAGAATCCACCATCCACACACACACACACACACACACACACACACACACACACACACACACACACACACACACACACACACATACATATATAGGCAGCATATCATCAAACATGTTTCATTGTATAATAATAATTGAATAATAATATATACAGTTAAAATAAGTTTGTTTTGTAATTCACACCTGAGGAGATCGAAAGTAGTTGGGTAGAAAAAACTACGGTGCCTACCTTGGTGAATTTAACCATAACATCAAGGAACTGATTGGAGAACTAGAAAGAATTATAAAATAAATAGACATAATATGTCTATATTATTCAATGAAACATGCTTGAATATATATATATATATATATATATATATATATATATATATATATATATATATATATATAAAGAAATATAGGTGTGCTATATTTATGGGATAAAGTGCTGAATAGAGATAAAGCGTATGTAAATATAAAAGGGAATCGTCGGCCTGACGATTCCGTCTAGCATGAAACAACCTGTCGGCTCTGAGTGTTGACACACACATATATATATATATATATATATATATATATATATATATATATATATATATATGAAATAGCATTCAAAGATTATTTTTCTCAATTTATATTTTAAAAGCATAAGAAAATAATTTGTATTACCGAGCAAGGTTACAGGTCAATGTAGCTATTTGAGAATTGTTTATTTTAAAAACTGGAAGGAACGTCTGCTTGGTTGGCATTCTGATATCGTTTTTCTCATTAGTGGATATTGTAATACAACAGACGAATGTAAAGCACAAAAAGTTTTGAATAACGAAATGCATTTTGCAAGCCATAAGCAAAGCAAATACAAAATCGGATAAATTGAATGCCAGAACTCACTTTTGGTTTTTGTGAGGGTGAATACTTGAAGCCGAATGTGGGTGGGGGCTGGATACTTGTCACATCAGGGTATATACTCTGGAATTAAAACACAAACATACATAACGAACACTCAGTAAAAAATGCGTATCATTCATGACAGTCGATGATAACATTTATTTGCTGAGGTGAGTTCGACGTGAACAAATTTCAGAACGATAAACGTTCAAGATAATGCTTCTTATAACGCCTGCTATTTAATACGGTTCCCTTTCATCAGGCATTAAAACTGTTATTTATGCAATATGCTATAGTATTTTATACTATTTTGTGGAACAGCTTGGTCCAGGGTCAACCGATATCTATCCTGCTCGTCCTCATAATACTCCCCCACTTCACCCGTCCTTACAATCCCACTTAGTAACCCTCTACCTCTTAGGCCATGTATTGAGTGAAATAACAGTAAACAAAAAAATGTGAAGGTATGCAGAACGCATTTATCTCCCTTTTGACAGGAATAATTTACTGATGTCTTAAGAGGCCCTTATGATCACGTTTTAACCTTTTGGGGAGAATAGTGAGTTGCTGCTTGATTTTCTACGGACAAAGTCGCAGATTTGCTGCTTAGCTTCCCACAGAAGAGGACACAAATCCGATGCATTCGTAAGACGAACCGAAGTAATACAACAGGGCTATTTTGTGCCCTTCTTGGGGATGTCCTCTTCACATACCTGCTTGTATTCTTATATCTGTTTAAATTCTTTAAGGGAGATTTTATGACATATATTCTGCATGTTATTATGCCATATATATATATATATATATATATATATATATACAAATATTTTGTATATAAAATGTTCAACTCATTTTGGGAGTTCAACTCTTTGGGTTATTCCAGTTCTTCCCTCCGTCTCGTTAAGATTTTAATTTATGACAGATACACTAATGCCTTTAGTGGAGTAACAGGGAAGACCAAGATATTTCTTCTCTCTTTTCAAGGACAATATTAATTGCTTGTTTTAGAACTATGTACCTAATTAGCCAACCGCGTACTAATTTGTTATTGATAAGTGGTTTAGAAATGAAGTTATTATACTTTCTTGGTCGGCTCCCAACGAAATCTGTGTGAATTGAATGTTGCTTAATTTTGATTGACTTAAAATGGATATTGCCAATATTTTTTTGTCAAAGAAAGAGGCCTAAATTTGCTGATATATATATATATATATATATATATATATATATATATATATATATATATATATAACAAACTTTGGGGCAGGCTCCTGACACCAAAACAAGGTAAAATATCCATATAAACATATGTCCAAAAGACCATCGTTGTACCTTAGCACACCAACTCATAACGAATGTTCCAAATGTC